AGTCCCAATGCTGTATCTGGTGTTTGTCACAACGAGCTATTATTATATTACGTGTTTTTTCTCTGGCCAGAAGTTCAATGGAAAATCGTCCCTCTTCAAGTTGGCAATCCAACAACCAACCTATCAGTGATGGATCAAGAAATGGAACAGGTGAAATAACTAATTTTTTTTCACTTTTACCCGATGTATTACAAAATCCAACTGCCATGCGCAAGATTTAACTATAACATGGTGAATTTTAATTGTAAAGTCCTATCAAAATCTAAAATAATTGTTAAAATAGTCGTTTATTGCAGATGTGTCTAGTAGCTCCCATTGATTTTGCTTGTAAAGCGGGGAGACGTCACTGCTGGAAGATGTCAGGAGTGAGGTGTTACTATATTTGGGAAAAAAATGGCTGGTCCCGGACACTCAGTGATTTTTTTTTTTTTTGATATACTCTAATAATCCCAGAGGGAAATTACTTCTCTGCATTTAACCCATCCCCTTGGGGAGCAGTGAGCTGCCATTGTGAGGCGCCCGGGGAGCAGTGTGAGGTTAAGGGTCTTGCTCAGGGACCCAGAGTGGCAGTCTGTGGGAGTGGGGGATCGAACTCACAATGCAATGAAAACTGTTTTCATTTTTTAACTGATAAACGCTAAATTCATTAAATCACTGCATTAGTTTTAGGTATAGATAACGAACCATTGATTATTCCTTGCTAACCAGACTTTTCCTTTAAGATAAAGAAACCGAACAATCCACTATTTCTGAGGCGTTGCTGTGAGTTCATGCAATCACCTTGAGAGTTCAACTCTGTTTTTCGACATATTTTTCATTGTTCGATCACCATAAAGAGGGAAAAACTAAATGTAGAGTGGATGACATCAGTTAATTGAGTGGGGAGGTGGTGATTTCTCTTTTTGTCAGGCAAACAGATTTCTTCATCACTGCGAGAGATTTAGCTCTGCAGACCTTTTTTTGTCAGCTTTCACACCATGTCTTTTTAATTACTATTAGTCTCATGGTCTTCCATATATGGACAAAAATACTTTAACATTCTACACTTGCAAGTTCATATCTGCACACTGCAAAAACGATCTAGAAATAAGTTAAAATGTCTTAAATTAAGTGTATTTAACATTCATTTCAGCGGGTAAAGAAGATTATTTGCTAATGGAATAAGTATTTTTACTCTTAAAGTAATATAATTAGATAATATGCACATGAAATAAGACAATGCAATTGTTTTTATTTTATTTTAAATATAAACTGTCTTGTTCCATTGGCAAAGTGTTTCATTTACCTGCTCACTTAAAAAAAGCCCTTATTTTTAAGAAAAAACTACTTTTATTTCAATTTTTTTGCAGCGCAATCAACATGTGTAGAAGGTTAATGATGGAATATCCTAATCATTTGGTTGTACCTCATTATTTTTGCTCTGCTAAGTTTAAGCTGTTTCTGAGTAAAAAGTACTGCATTGTGCACATTTACCAACAAAACAGAAACAACTTATAAAGACTGAATGAATCGCCAATATAATGGAGGCTGTGTTGACACTTATAGCAGGAAATATGTTTGTGAAATGCAAGAGCATTTTCCTCTCTATATAAAACCAGCAGTTATCTGCTTAAGTCATTAACAGGTTTGTCTTGACTCCTAAATATAACAATTAGAAAGAGGAACTATGACTAAGAATTACCGGAGGAAGTTCTATGTGCCTTGAAAGTTAAACAAAGGCCTTTTTTTTCACAGCTGATAGTGTTATTTACATATAGTTTAGCAAAATGCGAGCGCAGAGATGGGCCACATTTCCCAAAGCAGTGTTAGCAGCAATGCAGAGTAAATTCAGGGTTATTTCCTGTATATCATGGCTTCTATATTTTCAGTAAGCGAAGAAGCTAAAGTGCCTTGCAAAAGTATTCAACCCCCTTGAACTTTTCAACCTTTTGCCACATTTCAGGCTTTAAATATAAAATTGTAATTCTTTGCGAAAAATCAACAAGTGAGAGGGTATTCCTAAACAAGTATCTGTTTTAATTGAGACATCAGATTTAAATATTTATTAGCACTAAAGCTTGATGTAGGAGCGTTTTCATGTTACTATTATTTGTACAGTATGAAATACTGGCATTGCAAAGATGGCCGCCTACACATGAAATATTTTGGAGATTACATGATTAATTGTTCTGTTAAGGTGTGTTCACACCAAACGATCATTGTCCTTTGCAGGTCTGAGATGAAATCAAACATTTCCTTTTGACTTTGATTAAATAACGAGCATCTTTAAGGTTTTTCCAGTAAGATCAGAACTGTGATATCAATAAAAAGGCCTTAAATTCCTTCCACTAAAGAATTGTGAGCTTCTTTGCATTTCTATCCCCTAAAATCTCTATGTTTAATGGCTGAAAGTTCTATTTATTTGGGTTAAACGCTTCACTTTTCCCCCCTTATTTCAAATAGATAAAGAAAACTCTTATAAACAGTGATGGTTGTGTTTTATTTATACTGAAGAAATGCTAACGCATTTTGTTTTTCCAATTCATAATTATTCCAAATAAAAAGAACATTAAAAACAATCCACTGGACTTTGTTTCCAAGTTTGAATCAATTCAAATGTCAGTAATTTGGAGGTTTAAAGCGTTGAGTTTGATTGATAAACATTTGAAAGTGAACTAAATGTCTTTATCTGGGAACCTCATGTCTGATATTGCAGGTGAAAATGTCTTGTGATCAGATTTTCTCGTCCATTTTAGTTCTTTATAACGTATTGGCTATAAGACATAAGTTACTGTGCTTTCCTTTCTCTTCTCCAGTATTCAGCGGGCCGCCCTGGCCATCATAGAGCACTACTACTGTGACTTCCCCATCCATAACCCAGCTCTGCTTTCTGCCTCCAAGTCCAGAGCTGCCAAGCACCTGGCGGGCCTCAAGGTCTACAACGTGGATGGTGAGTTCCCAGCAGCCCCCGCTGAGGATGAGTGGGATGCTCTGTGTTGTCTGTAGCTTCTTTAGTTTCTAGAGGTAAAAAAGCATCAAAATGTAACCATCACCTGCAGCGTTAAACACCAGGAAACCAAATATACAATCCTGAAATTCTCCACCAGCTTGCAGGATTTTGACTCAAACATCTAAATAACCAGAATGATCACATTGGTTTTACAAACGTTCATAGAAAAGTGTTTTATTTGCATTGATATGACCTTTTTTTTCTTTTTTTTTTTTACAAATACTAATGTGCAACTGAAAAAAAAAAAAAGATGTGAAAATTCACAGTCATTGTGAGGCTGTCCATTAAAATCCAGACCGTGGACGGAGGACTGTAACCAGGCAACAGTGGGACAGATGGTGAGGACGACGTCGGGAGGCGAAAAGGCAGGCCGTGTGAACTGAACTGGCACAAACACGTGTTTCACCACAGAAAGACATTGTAAAAACAGGAGGCACTGTCATGTTGGGATCATAGGAAGTTAAACTATTAGTTAAAACAGGGTAAGTTGGTTCAGGTTCTAAACACCTGTGGCAGGCCTTTTAGTTTTCAACAGGAGGGATTTAAACTGCTTTTTATATAAGCCATCGGCACCAATATACAGTTTACCCACCAGGGGGCAGTACAGGATACAGCCAGCCATGACAATGAAACATGACTTTAGTGAGATTTCTCACTTTTGTGGAGTGCAACAGGCACAGAGAGACAAACAGGTGAGATTTTAGCTTATTTAGGAATATTTTGGGGTTTAACATGCAAACCTAGTTAGTGTGTGGATGATTACGAGAAAACGAATCCATCCAAGTCCTCCATGAAGGCGCCGACCTCGAGGGATTGGATGTTTACCAGACGCCAGCCGTGAGACGAGGCAATAAAAGCAAAAACCAGTCTGTCCAGTTAGGAGGTTCCACCCAACAGCTCAGACTGCTGATCCACCTCTGCTGCTCCAATATAAAGAAGTTATAAGGAGCCCTGAGAGATGACATCACACTTTAAACTCAAAAGGATTCAATATTTGCTGAGTGAACACTTTCCAAACTCCTCATGGTTGTCAAAATTAATTTTTTGTGTTTTTGCAATTAAAAATCTGAAAAGTGTGGCATGCATCTGTGACATCTAGTGCAAAAAAAAAACAAAAAAACAACCCCCTGCACATAAAACCATACGCATGCGCTAGACTGGCCAAAAATTTGGAAAAAATATCAATCTCTAGAGGCAGTAAGACAATCTAAAACTCCAGGACCTAATATAAAAACATGCCACACTTTTCAGATTCCTGTTTGTCGATCTATTATACAAAACACTGAGAAACAGGCAGTGAACATTTTTCCATTTCTCCTTGATGATAAAATGTGTGAAAAGCATCAGGATCTATGGAGGATAGAATCAGAAACCTGTTGCTTGGAAGGGAAAAGCAGATGAAGTCTGGAGCAATCAGTAGTTTTTATTTCAGAACTTGCAGCTCTGTCTCGTCATGTCAGGCAGATGAGGCAGACACAAAAGCCCTGAGAGGATCACCGAACCTTTGTGGAGGAGTCAATGTCTTTGAGCACGTGTCCGTATCCGTGAGTCTCTCACCGTCCAGCCTGTTTACACGGCCTGCTGCTGCTAAAGGTCGTCCCCTCTCCAACGCACCTGGAGAGCAAATCTCGCAGCATGTTTTGTGGATGAGCGAAAAAGATCTTTTTAAAATCCGTTTAGAAAAAACCAATGAAAATATTCCACATACTCCTCTGTGCAGCGGCTGGGGAGCTTTCTGAAACTTTGAGGTGAAGTCGGCCTTTATTCCAGTCTTGTTTGGCTTAAGCTTCTCAACCAGCCGACACGCATGCCTACAGAACCTTTCAAAAGTGTTAAAAACTTTTTCACATTTTATCACAAACTCTTATATTAGATGGGATTTTATGTGATAAACCAACAGAGGTGGAAAATCATAAAGATGAATACAAATCTTTAAAATGTGGAGAGCCTTTTTATTCAGCTCCCCTTTGTTACTTTATACATCTTGTATGATTTTCCTTCTATCATATGACTCACATAAAATCCCAGTAAAGGTGTCAATATTGCAACTATTTAGTGTAAAAATGTGAAAAAGTTAACTTTTGAAGGAAAGGTACACTCATGCATACAGTATTGTGCACAACCTAATTGGTCGATCAAACCCGTGAGCAAAATCCTGCAACATTTCTTCTTTTCACCAAGTTGAACATTAAAATATCTTAAATTTCAAATGTGTGATATATAAATTCATTTATATATATATATTAAAAAATGAAAAGTACATATAAAAACTTCAAACCCTAGATAGCAACATTTGAAAGCAATGTGACATGGTGAGGAATAAAAAAAACAAACAACTGTTGCCGTCCTACACTGAGGTTTCAGACTGTAGTCGCAGGACAAACTTGTGAGATTTGGGGTCGATGTATTCCTCTGACATCTGGATGTAGGGGATCTTTTTGGTCGTCACCACCAGGCTGAAGTCCACACACTTGAGCACGAAGACGCTCCCGTCCTTCAGGCCGCTGGTGACCGACGCCTCGCTGATCAGCGTCCACCGGCGGTCCAGCCAGTGGTCCTTCCCGTACTGCAGGGTGGGTCCTGGCGTCAGGTAGCTCTCCAGGAACGCCTGAGGGGAAAGAGTGTGGAGCAGGAGTGAGTATCCAGATGTCTGACTGTGCTGGGGCATGTGCTGCTTAGGGCAGACCTTGGGCGTCATGTTGTTGGTGATGCAGAAGGCCAGGTGCTGCTGGATGCTCTCCATGCTGTGGCAGTGCTGCTGCTTGGTGGTCCTCAGGTACTTCTGCAGGGCACGCGCCATGGAGGGGAAGATTGCTTGAGCTGCCTCTCTGGGGTCCATTACGTCCCCTGGAGCCTTCTTGGGCTCCTCCTCCTGCATACGCTTGATGTGGGTGAAAGCTTCCTCTACTGCTACTACCAATCTGGGGAAAAGCAGAGCAGGCTAATTCAATGTAATGCATGCTCATTCAAAAAAAAAAAAAAAAATGGGGAGGTTTTATTTCCTGTTTTAGCACTAGACAATCTTTAAATTGACCTTTAGTTGAAAGACTAGCTGAAAAAGGCGAAGCACAGATAAGAAACTGTTATTTTTCATATTTCTGCAAATTGAATTAAATGTATCCAAGTTATGTTAGCTTTTAAAATAGAGATAAAGTTGTTGAAAATGGAGGATCAATCCTGATGTGGAAAATAGTGTGTATGCAGCACATGCTTTTATTTTATTCTGAAAACCGACACACCTTCATGCTCATGGAAAGTACAGTGTTTGCAGGGTTAGATAGTTAACAGCATGATAAAGCAACCCGACTAACTGCACTACCTGCTGCTAACTGAACTACTCTAACCCGTCTAAGCTGATTAGCAATTTTATCAAAAATAAAAAGTCCTCTCTCCTAAGTTAGCTTATCTTCATTGGCTTCCTGTTAAATACAGAATAGAATTTCAAATCGTCCTTCTCCCACATAAAGGCTTAAATCGCCAAGCTCCATCTTAAAAGTGCAGAGATAATTATATATATAAAAATAATAATTTGTCAAATTTAAAATGTATCTAGTTTGTTGCAATTAGTTTCTCAATAATTTACATTTCAAATCATTATTTTGCCAACGATTTATAATCATAAGTCATTTATTTATATCTTTATGTATTATTGTATGGCAGGATTTGTCCTCCAAAATTGAAGAAAAAATTAAAAGCATTCGAACAATAATTGCGCAAATTGCAATTACAACAAAAACATTTTTAAAAATGGAGACACTGTTTTTACACATCAATGAGGTGGTTTTTCGGTCATATAGAAATTGTTAAATTTCGCAAAACTGCAATGGAAACTATTTTTTGCTTCCCACAAGTCGCATTATCTGTAACTAAACCTAAATGCCTTGTAAAAAGACAAAGTAGAAGAGTAGTTGGAGGAAGATGAGCCACTAGAGCCATGGCTGAATTATGGGTATATTTCATGTTTTTATATCCACCTCTGCAACGGTGTTTCCAAATGCTATTGCATGAACATAAACACATGCAACTTTTATTGTATATCTTATCTACTAGAAATACCATAATTACGGGACTTTGCACCTTCGAATTTAGCAGGGACTATATAATTTTGCGCAGATTTGTAATGGAAACGTAGCTACCGATAACAGCGTTGATAAAATGATTAGACCTCTAATATAGATTTTTCTTCCTAGATTTTACGTTATTGGTAGATAAAGGCTTTGGTGGCCAATCACAGCTTCTCCAGGGTCGGTCGACTCACCGTGCCCTGCGTTTGCGGACACGCCTCTCATGCTCCGCCTCCTCATAGTAGAGCTCGTTGTGGCTGGTGTCGCGTCGCCTCGCTGCGGCAGCGATCATGGCTCTGGACTGGGACTGGGCAATTCCCGCAGCAGCGGGGTTCCCTGGACCTGGAATCAGCAGAATCTGGTCACACTTGATCTCAAAAGCGAAGCAAAGACGGTGAGGGGTGAAGACAGTGTGCAATGTGAGGGATTTCTTTTTCGCAGCTGCAATTTCAAAACCTATGAGATGATGGTTAGAGCATCTATTCTTAGGAAACAAAATTAGGGTTGCGCCGATGCCATTTTCGATACCTGGCTGTGCAGTATACCAATACAATACCGACAGCATCTATATGAAATTGATGTGTGTGTGTATACGACCTATCCTCTTTATCTAATCTCCCCTGGATGTTATGGCGAAAGGGCACAGAAGAACTGCTCCCCCACCTCCTCTACCCTCCAACATCTGTGGATGCATTCAGAACTGTTGATAAACTTCCATCTCATCAAGGACATTGCCTGTGGTCAGCATTTAAAGACATATTGAAACAAAATGACTTCATGTGACTCCGCCTCTGATATGACCCTCTGCTGAATTGTCTGTCTCGTGTTTCTATGTGCTTTTCTTGTGCCCACACCTGAATGTATGTGATGTATTGTGATGAACGGTTTGTCCTGAAACTGAAATCTCGATTGCAATGTAAATTGTAGTTGACAATAAAGATTGATTGATTGATATGAAGAACTGCACACTACTTCGATGTAAAATAAGTGCCATCATGGCTGTGTCAAGCTGCTGCCTATCTTTGAGAATCCAGTAGAACTTTTTATCGCCTACCTGGAATGGGTGACATTAGTTAAATAATGTTTGGCTCTCAAAATGGTATCAGTGCCCTATTTGTTGGTACTCGCCGATACCACCATTTTAGTGCTGGATCCGGGCCCCGCCCAATACTGGCATTGGAGCAACACTAAACAAAACCCAAACTTTCAACTTGGACCATGACGATGATGATGTGGGTAAAGGCAAACTCAGGCTGTGAATTATTAATGCAGGGTAGGGGATCAAGCAAAAACAGAATATTGAATGGACAAAAAGGTGTGTGTGGGAGGCCAGGATATCACCGCGCTATGTGTATGTATAGTGGCAGGGAAATCTAATGCTAACAGTGAGAAAAATGTACATCATGAAGTTTCTCTGAGGTTGTCCAGCATGCAACATTTGAAATTTCGCACATTTCAAACATTTTCACAGTTAAACAACCAAAAAATCTACTTCTTATCTTAAATAACAAGTAAAGTTGATTTAAACGACACAAAAACATACTATTGGGCCATAAACCATGATCATAATTTTGTAAATTGAGGACCAATGTCCATGTTTCATCTTAACGGTTAAGTAGAGGGTGCAGTTCTGCTACACAACGCTGTTGCCCTTACAAAGATTCTGCAAACCTTTCGCCAACTCACTCTACAAGACACCTCCCACAGAGGCGTGCCTTTTAGTTTTGACTAGTCCTAATTCTAATTAAAGATATCTCAAATGCCACCATAATTCATGATATCTTAAATGTATTTAAGGATAGGAGATATGCAGTTTTGACTAGTGAAAACTCAATTATAGATACCTTAAAAGCAAATAATGACTAGACAAAACAAATTTAAAGATATCTTGAATTGTAATTTTGAATATTCGAAATTCCTATCCTCGTCAAAATGTGTCATGATCTTTTTATTGGGCTTCCAGGAGGATCATTTCTAAAAAAAAATTCCTTACTGTCAGTTTAATCCACAGGAGGAAAGGTAAATCAGCTCCATTTACTGTTATTTTCAGCGCCCCTACATGTGAATTACTGATGTGTGATGCTTTAAATGATGAATCCAGTGTGGTAATTTGAGATATCTTGAAAGGAATTTTGACTAATCAAAATGCAATTTAAGATATCTTGAATTATTGTTCTTCCTAATCAGAATGTAAATACAGATATCTTAAATTACCATTCCAGATAGTCAAAATGTATTTCAAGATATCTGGAACATAATTATGGATGGTCAGACAAAACCGAATTTATGTTAAAATGGCTTGCCATACTTACAGTCTAAATACACAATTTCAGACGCATTATTGATGTCTTAGAGGGAGATCTAGCAAAATAGCAGGGATTCTGAAAAAGGTGACTACATAAGAAGCAGACGGATAACGATTAACCATCTCTTCTAAAGGATGGGAACAGATCAGCAAACAACACTGGATGACCTCCAGAGGGGGATCAGTTGGATGAATGCTGTTAAGGAAACTAAGTTTCACTTAGTAAAAAAACCTTTGGCTATCCGATTATTAATCGATTAATCGAAAAAATAATACACTGATTGCAGCCCTAGTAATCAGACGAGCTTTCTATGTTGAAGACCACAACCTTCAACCTACTAAATACAACATTAATGAAACGTACACGGCCTGATGATTTCAGCTTGATCCCTAATCATCCACCTCAACACATTCAACCCTGTATCAATATTAATATGCATAAGAAGCTAAAATCATTTATCACATGTGCAGCTGCAGAACGAAAGAGAAAGACCAGAAAGAGAAGGAGACTTTGATGAGTCTCTGAGCAGCTGTTGCAGTAGAAAAATGAAGAATGTTGATACTGCAGGGAGAAACGACACAACTGTCTGTGATCCTGTGGTCCTACTGACACTTTAAATATAGGCAACAAATGCTAGGTGGAAAAAAAGAGACAAGCAAGTCTAGTTAGCACACTTGATTAAATCTTAAGAACACTTAAGGGACATCGTTAATCCAATAGAGGGGTTGTGTTACATTCCTACCAGCTGACACAAGGATGAAAGCTCTCTGTTGACCTGTGGCATGCAGAGTGAGGAGTGCCGAGTGTTTAATTTAGCAAGTGTTTTTAAGAGCAGTGGATCAGTTAGCAACAGGAACGTCCTAGTATACTCACTGTCCAAAAGGTAGGCTTTTAGTCTATCTATAAGAGGTTAGCATCAGAGAAACATAAGGAGAAATGAACGTTAGCAGAAAAGTAAAAAATCAGATTCCCACCTGGAGAGAGTCCTCTGTGATGGATATCAAATCAGCCTGCTAGGATTTCATCACATTGCGGCGCCTTAGCTACAAATCACCCGACTGTTGACAATATTCCAATTATACTGCATTAAGAGATCAATTTCTGCCTTCCAGGCAATCATTTGTTTTAGTGCATTCCAGCAAGTGAAGGAAAATCCACCTGCAGAAGCTTGAAGACGTTTTAAAAAGAGGAAAACGTTCCTGTTTCGAGCTAATGCAAAATTCTTTAACATTGTTAAGGTAAAAAAAAAGGGCTTGATAAAGAAGAGCTGCGGAATATGTTTGTGTAGAAGAAAGATTAAAAGTCGGCTGATTTTTATACTTACGGAAGTGTTTGAAAATAGATAGAAAAAATGTATTGAAAGACAAATATTTTATTTTATGCCTTAAAACCCCTAGGCTGTGAGAGAGTGAGGGAAAGCAGGACTAATAGAGTCTGAAAGATCTGCTTTCTCAACGATATATAGATGGAGAGTTTTGCTTCTCATCATATAGATTTCAGACAAATCATGACAACTGAAATATTGATGACTCTTTAATTAGCTTTAGCATTTAGTATTGTTAGCGTCATGCTACAGATGTTTTAAAGCTTCAGACCGATATGATTACAGGTGTTTTCAGCTCTAATTTTTATTAAATGACAGGAAAAGGTCCCTTAGGAACTAAAGGTGTAGCTCTGAGGCTAACATAAAATGACAAGAAGCTAGAGACAACACAGAGCATCCCACTCACCCTCAGCGGGGCCTGCTGGGAACTCACCATCCACGTTGTAGACCTTGAGGCCCGCCAGGTGCTTGGCAGCTCTGGACTTGGAGGCAGAAAGCAGAGCTGGGTTATGGATGGGGAAGTCACAGTAGTAGTGCTCTATGATGGCCAGGGCGGCCCGCTGAATACTGGAGGGGACAAAGGAAAGCAGAGTCAGTCATGTCCTATAACTAATAAGTTATAAAGAACTAAAATGGACGAGAAAAAATCTGATCACAAGACATTTTCAGCTTCAATATCAGACATGAGAAACACAGATAAAGACGAAAATGTGCTTATATTACTACTTCTTCAAAATGAAAAACACAACCATCAGTATTGATTAGAGTTTTGTTTACATATTTGAAATGAGGGGGGGGAAAGGCACGAGTTTAACCCAAATAATTAGAACCCTTAGCCTTTAGAAAAAGAGATGGGAAAGGTTTGTCAGGCCTTTTTATTTATATCACAATTCTGCCTTAATGGAAAAACGCTAAAGACGCTCGTTATTTAAAGAAAGTGAAAAGGAGTAATGTTTGAATTTTATCTCAGACCCGCAAAGCACAATGACCCTTTCCTTTCTCTTTACACACACGCACTGTGTCCCTATTACCCTATTAGTTACTACAGGAAAAAGCGGCATTTTCCTTTACATTTTGCAGTTGGGTATATTTCTTTATTTATTAATGTTACGATATATATGATTGGCTGAACATATGACATAAAACATTGTGAATGAAGGTAGAGTAAAGCAAGGTACTTCTGAAGACCCTCAAAAGGAAATCAAGATAGTGGAGGAACTTGACGCTTGTTTATGTACAATACTAAACCAGGTAGATCATTTCTTCAAAGAGGTTGAAACAAATCAACGTGTCTTCCGAGGTTTGGACACAAATAGAGTTACAATGGAGGACCGTACGGAAAGACAACGAACCTTTAAAGATGCTCAAAATAATAATATGATTGAAGAACTTGGCTTCTGTTTAGATAACATACTAAACAGCTTAGTTAATTCCTCTGAGGAAGATGGTAAAACAAATTCTTTGGTCGACCCAGAATTTGACCTAAATGGAGTTGCAATGGAAGGCCAGAGTGTAAATCAAGGAATATTTGAAGGTAATGAAACTGAAATGACCGCGGGAGAACTTGACTTCTGTTTAGACTAAATAGCAGACAGTAAATATAATTTCTCATTCATATAAATTAAATAGTCTACCCAGATACTGCCCTAAATCAAGTCAGAAATGAGTACAAAGCTAAAACTCTAAAAACAGACTGATAAACTGAAAACAATAAACACAAAAACCAAAAACATTCCTAAAGAACAAAAAACACCCCAACCATAACCCCCCCCCCCCAAAAAAAAAACAAACAAAAAAAAAAACAAAGAAACAAAAACACAAAAAAAAAAAAAAAAAAAAAAAAAGCATCATGGAGCACATACTTTTTCACTTCAACTTTTACCAAAGCGTTTTTAAACTGCAGTATTTATACTTCTAATTAAGTAACACGTGTACTTTTGACACCACTGTGTCCTTATGACAGTGTAATGACAATCAAAGCAATAACAATAAAATAAAAAGAATTGGGGTCCGTTTCACAAGCAGGTTTAGTAGAAAAACCTTTAGTTTTCTAAACCTGAAAACAGGGAAACTCTGAGCTTCCAGGTTCACCAAGAGAGTTCACCTCTGGTTTAGTTACTGTATAACATTCTCCCCAGAGCTAACCTGGTCGGGAGCAGGTTTTGTTCAGTAAACTCAGAAGGTCCTGTCTTTCTGCTCTCCTTGGAGCATCCACTGCAGGAGTGAGGAAAGCTGTTAATGGCGGGAGAAGGAGAGACCAGCAGCGGTGTCTCTTCCTCACCTAGGTCGGATATAAATAAAAATTTTAAACATAGCTTTTTTTCCCCAATTATGTTTTCTAATGGTTGATTTGCTAAGGTTGCAGGTATGAGCCTTCAACTATTAAAAGGTTAAAAATAGTAACGTCCATATATATGGAAAAGCATCAGTAATTACAAAGACATGGTGTGAAAGAACTTCAAACTACAAACTGATCAATGAGTGGTCGCTGCAGTGCAGAATCTGTGGCAGTGAGTGATGTAAAAAGGTTTTTCGCCAGGCAAAAACAAACAAAAAATACCCTCTCCACTTAATTAAGTCATGTCATGTACCCCAGCTTCTGGTTTCTCGCTCAAGCTTTGTGGCGCTCGATCATTGAACTAATCATTGTCTAAAAACAAAAGAGTAAAACTCTGTAGATGAACGTATGACCACACAGCAACACTTCAATTCTCATTCATTTCTATGGGATTTTTGCCATTGCCTTCTATTACCCTGTTTTTTCTATGGCGGGCCCCAAAGAATGATTTGGACAGATACTAAAGAACATCATGTTTGTGATACGTTAAAAACAGGAGATGCAAAGGAATCACCAGAATCAACAAAGAAAATGGCTTCAGACATCTCTAACTGCCCCCCTTAAGGGAGGCAATCAAACGGGAAATAAAAGTATAATGGCAAACAATTGCACACAGCAAATTATTCTTTATATCTCTCACCTTTGTACATTTATTTAAATGTGACCAACATAGTACCATCAGAGGGGACATGAGAAAGGCAGCTGCAGCTTGGATCAGGAATCTTTGCACGCCAAGGCTTGCCTTTCATAGCCTGCACTATTAAACCGACTGTACACAAGCAGGCTGTTTTCACATGTTTTATTCCATAAATCATCTACTCTTTATAATAAGCAACCTCCGTGTTCCAGGAAGCAGCTTCCATGCTTCTATTATTCAAGTCAAAGTGCGAAAGTTCACAGTTAAACATACGGCCGGCGAGACAATAGAGGTTTACATCAGATCCCAGTCAGTCCAGATCTAAACCCATTTCTTCATAGATGCCATCCATCCAATCTGACTGGTTTTCTGTCTTGACTCCAGATAAAACAGCAGCAATATGTGGTTCCACCACAATACTGAGTCTAATGCTACATTCAGACCGCAAGCAGCAAGAGCATCAAAAACGTGCATGCTGCTTCATTTTTGATGCTTGTACAAGTTAAGTTCTGACGCGCGGCTGAAGCATCTTTGCTGCTTCAGCTGTGCAATAGAAAGTGGGTCTGATGTGCACTGGGTGGAGCTACACTATCCTTTTTTTGCTTGTAACAATGGCAGCTATATATGCTGTGATCAGTGGGTAAAAAGCAGTTTTAATATGTTTTTCAGTGAGAAAATCCACCTGAAAACTTAATCAGTGCAGTCAGTTCATCCAGATTACCATCCTGCCTTCAAATATTATTTCTGTTTCAGAGTCGCTCAGACCCCCATCAGTAGGAATCCCATTCAACAGCAGCCTATGGCCCAGTCGTCTCTTCGCAGTTTGCCGTGGCGGCTTGAAGGCGGTTTTCATTTACGTAATCCAAACTGCAGGCACCAGAATAATAAAAGCTAACATGTTTTGCCGGCAGATTTCAGCATTTTAAGTTAATAATCTGTTTCAGAGGAGTGATCATAGTGATCTGTATCATCAGCAATGTGTCTGTCTCCCTGCCAGCTCCCAGATCAGCTTCTCTGATTGGTTGATGTGGCGCGTCGAGCAGCAAAAGTTAAAATTTTCCAACTCCAGCAGCCTCTGCACAGACGCGCTGCGGGACGTTTTGCTGCGCCTTGATGCGCGTCAACCATTGACTTTACATGTAAACTAGCCGCTCCTGCTGCCTTTGCTGCTTTAGGTGTGAACGTAGCATTACGATGCTGGAAGCAAAGCATTACCTACTTTACTCTTTACAGACATGCACTACTTTTGGTGGCTTTTTCTCATTAAAAACTCAATGGAACAAGAATATCCTTTTGTACCCTCTTGAACTTTCAATCCTCCGTTCTTGTGTGTTTAAGCACAGGAAATACTTTCCCACCCTTTCCAAACGGAAATGAGATAATCCTGCTCTGCTTGATTTGCAAACCTGCACTTCGCTCTGAATGTAAACATAAAAATATGCATCAAACATAAGGGTTTAGTCGACTGCTTTAATCCAGTTTTGACACCATGACCTGCATTAGTCTGACAAGAGGGCAGCAGATGTTGGCAGCTGTTAACAAACACATATTACAACTTAACAGCTTAACACAGCCTCTCTTTCATTCTGTTGCAAAGATAGAAAGCGCACACGGAGGAGCCTGCTGTGTCCAGCCTTTTGTCCACATGGAAAGCTAACCTAATATATGACAGCAGACACTAGCCTGCAGCATGCGCTTCTTGTTATCCCAGATGAGGACAACAGCGTGACCCCTGATAAACTGGTGGAAGCTCTTTATCCACATTCTGTCCTCTCTTTGCCGCCACTTATGGCCCAGAACAAATACTACATTAAGTGATGGCTCATTTACTGCATTCGGCATTAAAAACTCACCGGATCCTTCCCCTTTGCCGACAGTCACATGTACAGAAACAGTAACAGTATAATAACACCAAAATTGTAAAAATCATATAAACAGTTGTCATTTTAGAAAGATAAAACTTCTCAAGTGGTTGAGTTTTAGCTTCGCCTGCTTTAACTTTACCATAAAATCTACTTTAAAGCATCTTTTGCTATGAGATTAATAATCAATCAATTGAAAAAAATTATATTCGAAAGATTTTTAAATGATCAAAACAATCACTAGTTGCAGTATTAGTTTATATATTAGCAATAAATGCTATATTCATTACTAGGGCTGGGTATTTTTGCCAAAGTCCTGAATCGATTCGATTTTGATTCATACGGTTCTAAATCGATTAATTCCGATTCGATCTGTTTTTACAATAATGAAAGTGGTTCAACTGTGTTTCAAAATATTCATGTATTTTGTTTTTTCGTGTCATATTAAAAACTAAGTGCAAACTTGTAAATCAGACAGTTTAAACATGAGATGTGAACAAAACTGTCTCAAAAGTGCAAACTTGTTTGTGAAAAGTGAAAAAGTGAAGCCTCACTCGAGCAAGCAGACGTGACACAGCAGACATGCATGAGCTGCATTATCTCAATGCATAAACCATATTTGCAGCGTTGTCTGTAAAAACTACAGGATGTTTGCTGGTCAGCCCCCATTTGTTAATGTCTTCAGTTAACCTATTGGCTATATTTGCAGCTGTCTGGCTTAAAGTCATCT